TGAAGTATACATACCTGTTAACCATGGACTGCTTCTGGCTAGATTAACTCTTGTGTAATCAATGGTGCTAGTGAAGCTTATATCAGATCCACTCTGATTTAGCCACCCACACTAGTACCAAGTATTACTTTCACTGGGGGCAGGGGTACCTGCAGTTGAATCCCGGGACGGATACCCTGATGCCGTCAATCCTTTTTCTGCACCTTGTCCTCACCCACTTACTGAGGTGTGGTGAGCCCGTAAGTGGGATCATTTCAAGTCCACCCTAGTTTGGGGATTTCAGGGGGTGTCGACCGCTGGGTGGTTCAATGGCCAATTGAGTCATCTTTCCAAGATTCCTTTTGAGTCTCTCTCCCCTCTCCCGGGGAGACCCACGTGACCAGTTTTGGCAGTGAGCAAGTACAAGTACAGTGTGTGCGTGTGTGTGTGTGTGTGTGTGTGTGTGTGTGTGTGTGTGTGTGTGTGTGTGTGTGTGTGTGTGTGCGTGTGTGTGTATAGTCAACTTTGCGTATAACGACACTTGGCGGGGCATCAGAGAGGTATTCTTATTCGCGATGCGTTGTTACACCCGAAGTCTAACTATATGTATTTAGTTGGATGGGACTTTGTGATGGACATGGAAATTCTGTCGTTATTCGCGAATTGTCATTATATCCACAGTCGTTATTAGCGAAGTTGACTGTATGTGTGTGTGTGTGTGTGTGTGGGCGCGCGCGTGATTGTGTTTTGGTGTGATTGCATGTCACTACCCTTGTTTGTCGCCTCTGAATTCATTCCTTCACAGATAGATCCCCCCCCCCCCTCACACACACACACACACTCTTCTATCCTATGATAGAGGTGCATCTTGTAGCAGCACATTTTATATAACATGTTCACTAAACCTAAGACCACGACAATAGTTCTGCATGTGCTACGACTTGTTGGGTCGTTCCCACAATACGTTTGGTCTGACTTACTGTCCGGGGCGGATCTCACCGCCGGAATCCCGGTGAATTTTGGCGTCGTCAATGTGCACATACTCCCCAGTGATATTGGATATCCACCTGCCATGAAAGAACATCAACACCACAAAAATGTAGACAGGCGAAGGGTTAGTGGGTGGTTGGACGATGTTGTTGTTGTTGTTGTTGTTGTTTATTTTACTTCACAGATTCTAACGGGCAAGTTGCCCAATAACAAGAAAGCGAAGGCAAAGAAAATAATAATAATAACGAAGGGGTCGTTGTTTGAAGTTATTGGTGTGAGTAATGGCTACCGAGGGTAGCAATGGTCGGCTTTAGAGCACATGGAGGAGCAGAGTTAGTTTCTTGTATTATTCAACAGCCGAAAGGTACCGTTCAACAGTTTATTAATATTAATAATACTAATAAAAGAAATAACCGGGGGCAGCAGAAAATGAATAATAGCTTTAAGAACTCAGATGGTGAGCCAAGGAACAAATTCCATGTTACAAATAATCGTAAAATGGCAATAAATAAGATAAATTGTGCACTCATAACAACAGCAAAAATGAAGAAAGTCAAGTTCCATAACGTTTTCTTGTGACTGTCATCAGTGGAACGCCGTCACATAAAAATGTAATAACTAAAACACACACTTATATACATGTAGCTAATATGGTTTCAGGTAGAAATACAGCAGCTAACAAGTACAAAAAGCGAAGTTTGCACCTTTGCAATGTGTGAATATAGTGTATGTGAGAAAGGTAGTGGCAGATGAATGTGATACTGTGTGAATGAATGTAATGGTGCGTGTGTATTACTTGAAGAGTGTGAGTGATACAACGTTTTCTTTCTGTTTACATAGCACAGGGTCACGAGTACGAATATACACAGCTTCCAACACCTGCAATTGCTTGAAGAAACGTGCGCAACGAATAACACTAAACCAGGAATCGTCAAACACCTTACGACATTCTGGACTGGACACCAAATGCTTGTACACTGCAGACTTCCTCTTGTCAACATCAAACTCCTCCTCATCACTACTCTCATCCTCCAACTCCATTCCAATGCCGCCGTCCATCCCATCGCACTCGTATTCGTCGTCATCAGTCTCCATCTCCTCGCGACACCGCTTCCCTCTCCTTGATTCGTTCTGTGCCGTGCCTGTGCTTCCCCCGGCGTCTCCTTGCCTTGTGTTCTCCACTTGTATCAGTCGTGCCTCTGCTAGTCTCTTGCTTCTTCTCGGTTCTGCTCTGTTTTCAAGTTGTTCCCCTTCCGCTCTTACCGTTGTAGCAACATGGTTTGTCGAGGAGCGACCGTCCGGCGGCCTCCCTTGCCGTGGTCCGGTTTCCGAGGGGGGAACCAGATTAGTCTGCTCGTTCTCCATGGAAGTAGTCGGTGTTTCTGTTTCCGAATTGTGAGCCGTGCTAGGTGTAGAAATAGGCAGCGGATGTTTTCGTGGTCTCCCACGCTTCGGCCTGCTTAACCTGGCAGCCTGGGACAACAATGATAATGGGACGTGCTGCTTGATGCGTTCGGACAAGTGTTGAAGCGTCCTGCCAACATACCGACTACCACATTGTCGGCATTCAAATTGATAAATGAGATGGCTCAAATGGTGGGTTGGCAGGACGTCCTTCAACACTGTGAACGAACGCACCGTTGTAAAGACAGTAACTACATTCACTGCATAGTATGTCTTTTGCACGATCGATTTCACTGCACGACTGACTTTTGTTGATTCAGAGCCTTTCCAAGGCAGGCATAAGAACACCCGACACGGTGTTGGCCCGATTTTGTGTTCCTTCCGCGGCTCTTTGCTCGTGAGCAGTTTTGCTAAGAGTGATGATGGATATCCATTTTTCAGGAAAACTGAGCGCAGGAAATCGAGTTCAGGTTGTAATTTACTGTCAGAGCAAATGCGTCTTGCCCTATCCACCAAGTTCCGGACTAAATTGATCTTGTACTGGGCCGAGCAATATGAGTCATACATTATATTGTCCTGTAAACGTAGGCTTACGATAAACCGATGTGACAACACCATCACACGTCCTTTCGACTAAGACATCCAAAAACGACAATTTTCTGGATTCTTCGTGTTCACATGTGAAGCGCAGCGCAGGATGGACATCATTCAATTCAGTTAGAAAGGCTTCACTGTCACGTCTTGATTCGAAATAGGTAAATGAGTCGTCCACAAATCGAACGTACAACTGAGGCCACTTTACTTTATCCATTCTCCATTCGCAATATCCAACGAAGACGTTGGCTAGTGCCGGACCCAGCGGCGACCCCATTGCCACCCCGTCCGTTTGCTTGTACATCACGTCACCGAACGAAAACTCGACACCACTCGTAACCATCAACATCAAACGTCGAAACGCTGACTCAGGTAACCAAGGGACATCGACGTCATCATCATTATGGTAGAGTGTCTGATGGTAGAGTGTCTGATGACAGTCACAAGAAAACGTTATGGAACTTGACTTTCTTCATTTTTGCTGTTGTTATGAGTGCACAATTTATCTTATTTATTGCCATTTTACGACTATTGTCTCCTCGTCGATTGTTTACAAATAATCGCTTTAGTTTAAAAAAGAAAAAGAAAAGAGCGGGTGATACAGCAGTCTTCCTATTCTGAATTCCCTGAACGAAGCAGAGACACAACCTGGGTACATGTCACTATTACACAGCAGCACAGTAGCAAGAGAGCTACCGATGTGGTTGATTTACATCGGTGTGAAACTAGCGTAAAGCGATCACTCAGAGGGGGTTCATAAGATGGATACATGGCCTTCATTTCTACGAGGTCAGTTGAGGTGAGATGAAAAATGTCTCTCAATACTTTATGAACTGGACTCGGAAAAGAGTAAAATAGATTCTAGAAAGAATTATTTGAAATTATCAGATCTCTTAGGAAGTTGAACTTGGCTGTTTTAGAGGCATTGTACATTCGTAAGTTGTCCCCTGCACTATGTGTTCAGAAGGAAACGTATGTTCAGAAGGAAAATGTACTGTCCCTGCAATTGTTTGCCGTTAGTCCCCGTGCAAGTGCTAAGAATAATGTTTCTATTTGATACGTTCGGAAGTATTAGTACTATTTTTCATTTTCATGCTTTCTTGCCCCCCCCCCCCTCGCTATTGCACTTTACTTCTCACTCTTGAAGTGTGATGTTTTGTGTCCTTCAACTATTTGCCCATAATTGCTGTTTTTAAAAGGCAGTTCGCTTTATTCCCGGCCAGAACCCATGATGAGAAGGGAACAAAACTGTCTGTTTCAGAAAGTGTTCAAATTGTTCTTCTAGACTGGTGTGGATGACGTATGGATTCAGCAATTACTACTTGAAGTCTTAGATAGTCATAGGCGATATCATCGACCAACATACTGTGCGATGGCGGTGAGATTTGCCTCAGTTGTTTCGACAGAAGTGTTGAAATGGAAAACAGTCCCACGCGCTTTGTCCAGCAAGAATACCTGGGGAAAAGAGCAACATGGGCACACCGGTACACCCACAGATACACACACAAGCGAGCGTGCATACACACACACACACACACACACACACACACACAGTCATACACACACATATGCACACACACACACACACAGTTATACACAGTCACACAAACACACACACGCACACACGTGCACGCACGCACATGCACACACACACACACACACACATACACACACACACACACGTGAACACAGATGTGTAAAGGCTGAACATCGCAGCTAACACAGACATGCAAACATAGCCATCCCCATGCGCATATCCAATCCAATGCATATGCAGTGTGCTCATCCAGGAACAGGAACAAACATTTGACACTGAACTGATCAATATTCCAGCTTACAGTCAATGACGCAGTGCCTATTAGACTCGGCTTCTCTCCCAGGTTATCGTATGCCTCCACATCCAGATCCAGAACCTGCTGGGTGAATTCGCTGTAATCCGAGCCGGAGCGCACAGCACCTGTTAGACTGTTGATGCTGAAGACTGCACCTAAACGCATTAAAAGATAGGGGCAACGGGATGCATTGAGTAAGACACATGGTCATGGGTGCAACATAATTGCTCATGTACAGCCCTACGAATAAGGCATGATGAATGACAACAACAGAAGAAGCGATACTTGACAAGAATACAGGGCACGATATACACAAACACACGCGCGCACACACACACAGGTTGAGCGGTGGCAGCTAGTTGCTGCAATTCTGGTGAGCCTTGCCAGACTTGCCTAGATCATAGATCTCCGGGTCATGGTCTGACAAGCGCATTAAGGTTGGGTAGGACAAATGGAAACACCACCGAGTGCAGGCCAGAGAAATCCAACCTCATGAATAAAGTAGCGCCAAGTTCAAGTGCACAGTGCGTAGTGCTAGGCCTGCGTAGTGCCCCGCTTTATTTTTTTATATTCATGAGTTTGGATTTCTTTGGCCGGTACCGTAGATTGAGTCTCTAAACACGAAAAGTACTGGAATTTTACAAGTTTTAGGTGTACTTCCATTTCCAGTTCTTTGATGCATACAGTCAAACCTCTTTAGGACGGACATCAAGGGACTAATGATATTTGTTCGCAATAACGGGAGCTCTTCTTATTATGTTTTACCCAGTGAATACACAGGGCTTATCCAATACAGTTAAGAATACTAGTTCTTCTTAGGCAAACATTTGTCTTATCAGTGTTCTTCCTAACCAGGTTTCACTGTATGCATCATACCAAAACACAAACACTGAAACACAAACCTCCAATAAGGAACTGCTTTTCTGCACCTAAAAGTGGACTTGGCTCTTTTTTTTTATCACTACACCTCTATAGGTGAAAGGATCATTTGCTTTTCAAAAGCATGCCATTGAATGTATTTGGCTTTATAACTCTCTCCCGTGTATCGAAGATTGGCCTGGATTTCTTACGTACGTAGGATTTTCCCTCCAATACTTACAACTAGACGAAGATGATCGATCTAAAATCCATGTATAGCTTGGGGAAATGCAGATTGGAAAATTTGATTTAAAAACATTGCAGGTCAGCTAAGCAGAGTAGAGTGCTTCTAGCATACGTACCTGGTGCCGGGTTAGGGTTTGGCATGACGTAACGTACTGTTCCGTATTGACCACTGTCTGCATCGGACGCCTGCATGACAGAAAGCAGAATCAGGGAGAACCGCTACATCAAGCAATAAGCATCCATTTCAGCATGGCATTCGCGATGGGACAATGACAGTCTGACACATACATTGCTTCCAAACGTACTCGTCCACTTTGAGGCATAAAGAAACATTGCTGCTATTTCTTGCGCATACTCTGCCAAGCATCCAAACATAGCACTCTACACAAGTATCCATCTTGAAACAGTATTCACAAATGGGCCCTGGCACAGACATTGCTTCTTGATGCACCCATCCGCTTAAAAGGGGAAAAGGACATTCTTTCTATTTCTTGTCTATACTCTGCCCAGGAACACACAACAAACTATTAAGGGTGTTAACCACTGCAGGGACCTCCCCACAAGTAATGAAGAAAATTTACTATTGGTTGACTTTCACAAGCACAATTTCACACGAAGGAAATCGTAATGCGGAGTCAGCTGGGCACCTTACCGAAACTGTGATAACTGAATGCGGTGGACGGGCATCCAGGGATATGCCTACAGACAGCACAGAATAGTACAATAGTCATGCGCCTATACGTTGTCCACCCCAGTCTAGAAGAATAAATGGAAGATTTTCTGAACCAAATGTTTTCGTTCCCTTCTCATCATGAGCTGATACAGGGAATATAGCAAAATGACTAAAACAGCAATTAATTAGGTAAAATAATTGAACGACATAAAACATCCCACTTCAAGTGAGTGTAAAATGTTTAGTGCAACCAGTGCCTGTATCCACGGCACGGAAAGCAAACAAATTCGACAGGAGCATGGAAGTGAATATAACTTGTGAAAACTCCACTGAATAGAGACAGATAGAGTTAAATCTACCAGTACAAACAATAAGAGGACAAAAAAGTGTTTTACTCCGAGTTTCACGCACTAAGCGATCATCATCAGCAGAACGGTTACTGTTTCCTGATGATCCATTAGTGCGTGAAACTCGGAGTAAAACACTTTTTTCGTCCTCTTATTGTTTGAACTAGCTCTGCCTCTCGGTATTGAGCACTCTCTTGGACAGCCTGGAACCTCTCTGTTTCAATCTACCAGTACAGTAGACTAACGGTAGCTTGGCATGTGTATACAGCCACTGGTCTTCAACAAAGATGGCTATTCACTCTCAGCATAGTCCACAGTAATAACGCACCTCCACATCTTGGCCATTCATGGCAGAATTGGCAAAAAATGAAGTTCTGTACGCGGTTCATCCAGGAAATGTCTGGTACAAAGTGAGCGTGTATTGACCTATCCGCATCACGAAACCAAGCGACAGTAACGTTAACAAGAGTCCATAACCCCAAGAGTGTGCAACTCTGTACATGGAAATCCGCGCGGCGGAATTCCAACATTACGTCAAAAATGACGTACACGTCCGTTTCGCTTGTACGACTCCCTGGTTCCAAGTACCACATAATGCGGAGTTTTGGCCTCTATGCCTCGGCGGCATGACCTAACGTTGGAATTCCGCCGCGCAGTGGGCCTATAGCAGCCAGACCCTAGGTGCACACTCTTGGGGTTATGGACTCTTGACGTTAGCTATAGCAGACCGTCCATAGAGTGCTGACAAGACACTCACCAGCAACGTAATTGCTTTTACTGAACACCGGCGCGTTGTCGTTGATGTCTCCGACTGTAATGGTGACTGTCGCCGGCTGGCTGGTCAGAACTCCACCAGTGCCTGCAGTGAAGTGGAAAGACCACAATCAAGCTTGTTAGAATATGAGCCAGCGCATGCGAAAACTGTGCTTAGCTTAGTGCACGCACATTGACTTGAGAAAAAAACCACTTGAAGTTGCACTTTTATGTGTGCGACTGTTAGACTGCAACCAACAAAACTGCTTTTAAAAGACTTGGGTGTTTCTGGGAGTTTTTGACTAAATATTTTTTTAATGATCTCTAAAGCTTGCAGGCACGTGGTGCACTAAAAAATGCAATTTCCAAAATTTGAGGCTTAGTACCCTTTTCGCGTGCTCTGGCTTGTATTACCAACAACTGGTCGTAGACTGTCCGACCTCATGAGCTAGACAATATGTGACACCCATACAACATATGTAACAATTAAAAAGCAAAGTGCTCAACATGCCCAAGGGACGTACCTGGATGCGGACCAGCCAGGATATTACTGGCTGTGACCAACAGCGTATACGTCTTCACCGTCTCATAGTCCAACTTGCTATCCAGCAAAACAGTGCCATTGTCCGGGTCGATAGCGAACACTCCTACAAATCAGAGGAATGTATATTTATGAGTAAGAACCTGTCTATGGACGTAGTATGCATGTGGAAAAAGAGAGAACACTTGAAGATATGTGTTCTTTGATGAAGCTATTTTCAACCCTTTCTAGCCGTAAAGAACATCGAGTTTCCGTGTGTACAAGTAAGTACAAATGTGGTTCCTGAGTCCGTGACCTCTCTCTCAGCGGACTGCCGTCGATCGTCCTTCCATATTGTCGGCCCCGCAAGGGGACACGTGACAGTGTTTACCAGGACCAGGACCAGGTGTGTGTGTGTGTGCACGCATGTTTGCGAGCTTTTGAGTGTGCAATTACTGACAACAGAGCTCAGGGAGTAGCAGGAACATCTAGAGTAAGCACTCTACTAAACCAGCTTGGTCTCAAGTTGGCTTGCTGGCAGATACAAGGACATACCTTTGCCAGTACCACCGCTGACGGCATACGTGATGTGTTCACCCACACCCGTGTCACTATCCATTGCCATCACATTGCCTAGCTCCGTGTTAAGCGTGGAGTTCTCCAGTAGGTAGAAGCTGAGGTAAAGAAACAGAACCAGAAAATTAAATTCCTTACTCTGAAGGAATCTGTACCCCAACAGCAGCAGAAGATACATAACATGACAGTAAGCATTACAGGGGCTTGCCTGTGTGGACATTTAGCAATGTGCCTACTTCGTCACAAGGAGTTAGCGCCAAGAGGAAATTGAAATACGGGCAAGAGTTAGTCACGCCAACATTGGAATGGGTCAAATGGACGAGTTCCCCTTATCCTAACCCAGAACACGCTTCCAAGCACACAGATGTACAATTTCCCATGGCTTAAATCGAAGACCACTGCCTTGAACCAGGTCAGCAGTCCATTGGATATACTGCTGGTGCGGAAATTCAGGCCTGAGGCATGTCTTGCAGGAAACTCTGGTACGCAGGCCCAGCAGTTCACATCTCTTGGCTATAGCCTTTAATGCCTCTGCATTACACAGACCGTCATAATTTACCTGTAGGTCATCGGCGTGAAAACTGGAGGGTTGTCGTTTTCGTCGCGGATGTTGACAATGACCGTGACAAGTGTGCTGAGTCGTGTGGCTGTGTCGGCTGCGCTGTCGGTGGCACGCACTACAAGCTGCACAATAACAAACATGTGTACATTGTGTTACTGTAGATTAGATGCACTCTGGCCATCAAATACCTACAACACTCTTGCCGGTTTCTCTCAAGTAGTTTTTCAGACATTGTATTTAATTTAGCAAATGCTGCTGTCTGATGATCGCCGAAATGCGTGAAACTTATTAGTTCAAGTCGGATGGTGAGCCAATAAAGTTATGATGAAAAAGGAGAAGGACAAAATGTTAATGTTAGTCATAACTCGTAACATTTTGTCCTTCTCCTTTTTCCCCATAATGAAACTTATTAGAGTTATAGCTACACAACCTTTCGCCTATGTTGTGTATGGGGTTAATGTAATGGATTCTCCAAAGACCTTAGCTTGAATCGAGGGTCTCCCTTGCGGTTAATGCTATCCTTGGAAGCAACACACCAAGAGCTGGAAGATACTGGTGCTATTGCATGAGGTCGAGGAAAACCAATTGTATTCAAAACCTGTCATCTATGGAACTATCCCTAAAAATAACTTACCGAGAATGTTGTACGAGTTTCGAAGTCCAACGAGTGAGCCAAGACCAGGTTAGTGCCGTTCCGTAGCTCAAAGAAACTCAGAATCTGTCCATCACTGTTGCCGGACACGATGTCTAAGGTCACTGCAGCGTTCTGTCCCTGCGAAGTAATGCACACGGCAAAGAAGAAAACTTTCCAATGATCAAAATCTACAGGGTGGCTACAGAGGGGACCACCACCAACCTCAATGCACACACACACACATGAGTGTATATTATATTATAGTGATACTTCAGCATAAGGTATTCAAGATGACAAATGCAATACTCTTTGCATTGCATTGCATTGCATTGTTTTTTCAATGTTAGCTATGGAATGTGTCTTCCGTTAAACACACAAAAAGGGAAAAAATGATGAACACACATCCTCCACACTCACACATGCACACACTAAAATACTATGAGCACCACATTCACATTCACATTCACATTCACATTCACTATGAGCACCACATTCACACACATTCACACACATGCACACACGCACGCGCGCATGAGCACGTGCGCGCGCGCGCACCCGCACGCGCACGCGCACACGCACACGCACCCCCGCGCGCGCACGCACGCACGCACACACACAGAAAACACACTCTGCAGTTAACCGTACCTGATCTGCATCTGTGACTTTCAAGGCAAGAACAATGGTGCCAATTGTCGTAAACTCTGATATGGTGACAGTGTACAACTGCTTGCTGAACACCGGAGCATTGTCATTGACATCTACTACCGTCACCAGTGCCTGCAGAGTACAACAGAAAAAGCAATTATGTATCGTATTTTCCAGAGTAAAAGCCGCATTGGAGTATAAGCCACACCCCAATTTTTTGGCCGTCTACCCTATTTATGGACTCGGATGGAGAGCCAAGGAGCGAGTGCACGCCAAGCTTCGACTACATGCAGCGCAAAATATCATGTCGTGGTACATTCACACATGTTCTGCACTAGCAAATTCAGTCATCGACAAGCATGTGCGTGTCAAAAAAATTGAGAAAACTCAATACAATAGACATTGTCAATAGACCATTGGGATGGTTCCTATAAAATTACGTTGTGAGCTGTTCCACGTAGCATTTCAGTTCATTCTTGGACCTAATGAGTGAGTAGGAACAGTCAAGGACCATTAGACTCAAACACTCACCCTGTATGTGTCGTTGTAAACAGGCGTTGCCATGGTGTTTTGGCCGACAATATTCAGCAGGTAGGACGATGTGTTCTCACGGTCTAGTGGACCAACCAATGTTACAACCCCTGTGTCCTTGTTGATTGAGAACTGCTTGCCATCATTACCAGCTGCAGGGAAAAAAGGATCATCAATGATTCGAGAAAAGCCAATGGCATTACCTGTTGGGGTTTTGCTGGAGAACAGCATCACGCAAATTCAACTACAATTGGTGAATCTCAAGTAAGGGTTGCAGCCGAGAGACCATGTGTTAGTGTTTATACTGAGGAAGATAAACTCTACACCTGTTGAACATAGTCATGGTATGCTGGCTTTTGGATCTAGACACACAGCGAACACATACATACGCATAAATATACACTGATAACATATGCGACGACTACACCATAGCTCAGTGGTTAGAGCATCGCTAGCTACAAGCAAGGGTCCCTGGTTCGAGTCCTGGTGGTGACAGTCAATTTTTTCTTCAGACTTTTTCCCGTTTGTCTCTTTCCCTCAAACTAGTGATGATAACATATCACACTCCATTAGACGTGATCAAGTGGTTTGCTTCACTGTCCGAAGAGTGCTCACTACCCATGTAGGGCAGAGCCTTGTACACAAGAGAGAGATTGGAAGCTTTGTCACAACTCTTAGTTTCACGTATTACTACGATCATCAGGCAACTGCATTAGAGAAATCTCATTGATCGCCACACCACAACTGCGCTCCCTTTAATCCGTACAAAGCCAGATGCTGCTGACCCTTGATGAATAATAGCATCCTTACGTTTTTCACCAGCTACCTAATAGCCTCTCCCTTCAACTTACACAGAAAGCTGTACTGGACAACTGAGTTTGTGCCAATGTCTGCATCTGTTGCCGAGTTGTCAGTGACTACATATCCTGAGTGGGTATCTTCCGGTACGTTGACTAGGACACTTTTCTACATGCACAACATAGACAGACATACAGAGATATAGACAGACACACACATATGTTCACATACATACACATGTACACAGATACACACTCGTGTACACAAACGTACACCGACACACCCACGCAACCCCCCCCCCCCCCCCCCACATATACCCACACACGCAACATGCACACATACAGACACACAAACGATTGCGCGCACGCACACACACACACAGGAACAAAGAATGACATAATAGCAGAAAGGGGCATCCTCAAGCATGTGCATGTGCGCTCATGTTCACAAAACACACAAACGCATGCATACACACACTTAGACACACAAACACATGAACGCATGCACACATGTATGTATGCATAGATGCACGTGCACACCCAGACGTCCTCATCATCAATGCACACACCCATGCCCCCACCTATACACAAGGCTACAGGTACATAATTATACATATGAAGAACTGAGATGCAAACTCCTTAAAGGCCAAATTTGACAAAATGTGATTTTCAGCTCAGTATAATTAAAAGGTAGAGAGGCATCACCAGGCAAAATTTCACATTAAAAATCTGATTGGAACCATTTCAAAACTGGAACCTAAATATGGATTTAGATACCAACTGCATATAAAGCGAATCCTTTCTTGGCCATTATCCGAAAAGTGATCAAACAGAGTTAGCGTGCTTTACATCTCAGCTCTTCATAAGCACACAACCACACAGCAACATTCACATATTCCCTACCCTGACAAACACGGGAGGATTGTCGTTGAGGTCCAATATCTTGAGCAGAACGTTGCAGAACGTAGAGAGAGGACTGACGCCATTGTCACGCACTTGGATGGTGAACTGAAATGAGCCAAAGCAAGATGAATACAGGATACTGAAAGCATGACAGTCACATCAAGTGTAGCTTTCCCATCAGGCACATACAATCGACTCCACTTATAACGAACTCGCATATAGCAATTTTAGTGACATAGCAAACCCTCGTCCATGTCCCTGCTTGAACCCATACAAAATTGACCCTTCATAGCCAACAGTTTTGGTTTATAACGAACCAAATCTTGTGACGCCCCATGTAAACCAAGTACATTCATACTGTCACGGACCACTTGCCAGTGTGAGTGCATTTCTGTTATAACGAACTTCGGCTATAAAGACCTAATTCTTCTGCACAATGGTTTTCGTTAGATCAGGAGTCGAGTGTAGCTGTGACGCCATTAGTGCATGGAGGTCAAGCACACCAACCCCTACGCTGGCTTCACTGCACTGGTATACAGTGGCGGTGCTAGAAGTGAATCTGTAATATTTATTTGTATTGAAAAGAGTATGGATTATCACATAGTAATCTACATGGAGATAAAAGCTTAATAATAGCTATAAAATGAATTTTAAAAAAAGTAAAATATTCTGGGCTCAACATCCGAGTTTAATATTCCTACCTTGTACTCGTCAATTTGTTCTCTGTCAAGCATTGATGTTGTCGTGACATTTCCTGTCAGTGAGTTTACTTGGAACGGAACAGGGTTCAGCAGAGTCGGCACGGTTGTGATGCGATAGTACAGAAGAGCATTGTCACTAATATCACGGTCACTGGCCTGCAGCACTACTATACTGGAGCCCGCGTTCACGTTCTGCCAAAAAAAAAGAACAAACAAGACGGGAGGAGAGCTGCTTAGCCGCAGAGATTTTGCCAGGATTGAAGAACTTTCCTGCGCGGAAACAGGGCATTATTCTGAGAGTCTCTATGCTAAGGAGAACCAATCCCAGGTCATTTGCAAAATGTCATTTAAGACACACCTATAGATACAGATGGTAACCAGGACAGCAGTTCAATGGATTGCATATTATCAAAGAAAAATGGAAAAAACACGGTTTGCGTTAGACCCAGTTGGACTAAGTTCTCCCCCTTCGTAGGAACGCCACCACCCACGAGGATTAAGGCGCAGATGCAGCTCCTAAACCACATCACACAGCTATAGGTCAAATGTCAATAGCACAATATCATCAGCAAGGTGAACAAAGAGGCAGAGGAATGTCGAGCAGAAACGCTTACCTCATAAACAGACAGTGCCTTGCCAGAGCCATTGCAGACTGGTACGAATGCTGGGATATTGTCATTTATATCCTACAGCAGCAGCAGACGGGAGAAAGACACGACATACAAGATTTTCAAAATTGACCACCAACCGTGCACCCTCCTGCGTCCCTTTCTTCAGATGCCATGGATTTGTAGGGGTTTCCTTGATGTATAAAATATACCACACGTTCAAAGCTGGCTCTGCACCCATGAGAACTCGCTCAAGTCTTGGGAATATATCCAAGTAACTGATCAGCAAAGATGTTCTAGACGAGAAAAGGTGGCAATTGAGGGAGAGAAAACAGGTCTGAAAGAAAATTCACGGTTCGTTGGAGACTCGGCTGGAGGCTGAATTTTACGCATCCGTAGGAACGCCACCACCCTATACGGACCAAGGCCTGAAGGAGCACTTCAATTTTCTTCTTCTATTTGCACTTACAGTGACATTGATAGTGATTGTGGCGGGTACAACAAAGTTTCCGGGGCCTAGGTCCACAGCCTGTATGCCCAGCTGGTAGTAGTTGAGTGTCTCGCGATCAATGGACTTCATCAGCGTGAGCAATCCACTGTCTGGGTCCATGTGGAAATGGCCTGAAGGGAAAACATACACAGCAAATGCAATGGAACATGAGTATGAACGGTTAGGGAACAGGCAATCCGACACACACGGCACATACCAAACACAAAGTATGCACACAAATCATGAAATCATGCGCTTCAGAGTTCGAGCCTATCTCCCTCAAGGTCACATCTGAATGCTATCGGATGTGATCATAGCAGTAGCCAGGTAGTTGTCACACATACATAGACACACATGTATACCCACCTATGCACAACTACACGCACACACACACACCTGTACACATATGTACGACCACACCAACCCATACGTGCTCCATATGCGCACCCAACACTCTATCCCCCCTTGCCTACACACATGCACACATCCATACACACCAACCTCCCCGACATACACATGGACACCCACACACACACGAATGCTTACCTCCAACATCTCCCGATACCACCGAGAATCGGACAATGCCGTTGGTACCAATATCTCTGTCTGTTGCTACCACTGTGACAATTTGATCACCAATGTTTGCACCCTCCGACACAAGACGTCCATAGTGATTGGGCATGAACACAGGAGGATTGTCATCCACGTCAAGAACTCTCACCGAGATCTGAGTATGCAAGCAAGAAAACAAACATAATATATGACAGAGGACAGAACACAAATACGATGACGCCCCGTTAACTCAAGAAGAAAACTGATAAAACAAATTTCTCTTTGGAAGAACCAGCATCCATTACGATATTGGATAGACCACTCCGTATCCACCGGGGCACTGGATAAAAAGAACTCCCGCTGTTGTGAACAAATGCCATCTGTCCTTTTTGCACGTCCAAAAGAGGTTAGCAGAGGGTTTCACACAAGAGTGACGAATGTTGCTGTCCCATAAATCCGCTTAAAACTTGAAGCAGCAGCAACGTTCGTGAAGTTGTCATTAACCTAATAGTAACAATTAGAAAAGCACAGTTAGAGTTGTACATGGTTCACATACCAATGATGTCGAGCTGAGGCGTGGAGTGCCACGGTCGGTGACGGTGATCAGGAAGTCATAATGGTCGTACTGTTCCCGGTCCAGGGTACGTGACGTGTAGAACTCCCCGGTGTCTTCGTGTAAGTAGAACTGCTGAAGGCCAGCGGCTGGTGTGCAGTTTGTCAGGGTGAAACGGAACACGTTGTTTGGACTACTGCCGTCTCCATCGCTGGCATTCACCGTCAGCAGTGTTGTGCCAATCTGTAGAAAAAGGGAAAACAAGAATTTTTTGTCTTCGTTACGAAGGGAGCTCACCATGGCAGCTAAGACATTCTAAATCCTGCAGCAGATGCAGCGCCTGACGGCGAAAGTGAGGGGAAAATCTCAAAGCCACTGGCACGAGTGACGAGAAACAGCATTAGTGCTGCATTCTTGTATGCACTGTGCCTGGCAAAAGTTCGACGATGACCGTGAGTGACAGCATGACTTGTATCTCAATCATGGTCCAAGACCAACCCACTGTGCCAGTTATTCTAGGCAGCAATGCATATCTACCACTTCACTTAGTGTGCTGAAAGTGCCTGGATGCCTTGTAATGGATGGGGGATCAAAGCAAGAGAACTGTGGACACAGATCTGTACAGCTGTTTCTCAAAACTTCCTTTACATAGTGAACTCATAACACACTATTTTCGAACTATTTCTCAACAAGAGACCGTTGTCCGCCTGTAGGAAACAGAATAAGACTTAGTATTGTGGCTTTCTTGAAAGCCAGATATACTGATCTTCCTCTTCTGTGGATACACCACAACCTTCAAGCATCAAGGAAGGCAAGAAGCTCAAAGACAAACAGGTTGCCCACATGGAAATATAACCAGGTCAAGTTCTATACAGGTGCTCTTAAGATACGGATCTATAGCATATTTTCACCATAGCTTGGACATTCCGTTGTTTAATTCTGCGATACTTACAGTGACATTCTCCAGCACGGCGCTGGAGTATTGCGGGAACTCAAACACGGGCGTCCAGTCGTTCACATCCAGAACGCTGACATCGGCCGTGGTGAATGTGTAGCGCGGGACAGCGCCGTTGTCATGCACGCTCACGTTGATCGTGTACGACTCGGTCGTCTCGAAATCCAACCGGCCAACGGTGCGAAGCCAGCCGGTGTCAGCTGTGCACGGAGAGAACATGGAAAGCAATCTATTGAGTCTTGTGCAACTGACTTGTTTTCTACAGTATTATTTAGCATGAGTGCCACAACCAAAGAAGGGATATCGTGCATGCATGAGGGACAATACGCCATGCAAAAATTGTATGAATTATCTGGCTTACACGGGCGTTCCTCACACTGACTGACCATGGTACCACCTTTTATTGGCTCATTTGCCATTACTATGAACCTCACCTTCAATTCTGAATTGCCCCATGTCACCTCCGGCCAGACCATACGTAAGCCTGGAATTACTTCCCAGATCAATGTCGGAAGCCTTGACTTGCACAACCTGAACAAACATATACACACCAGCCATGAACATGACCATTCAACGAGTCGTGCAGCATCATTCACAAAGTCTTAGTCTTTGCATCTTGAATTTTCATTCCTTCAAATTCATAATCCATGAAAATCTTCAAATTTACATCACAATGAGGAAGCTGTGCTAATATTGATACTCGCAGGTATTGTAGACCTATACATGGAGGGATTTGTTGATACTTCATACATCTATTCAAAATTGGATACGCTGATATTGGTGGAAGAGTGAATAAAGCAATTGAACATAAAGTGCTAAAACGTACTGTTGTTCCGCCGTCTTCGTCTTCCTTGATGGACTCGCTGTAGGTAGCCGGACTGAAGACGGGTGAGTTGTCGTTCAAGTCGTTGACGAATATAGTGATGGTTGCGATGTCTGACATTCTGGGTATGCCATTGTCATGCACCTGTAAGAATGAGGAACGGGCATTTATTGATGGAACTAAGGAATGCTAGCATCCAGTGTCTTCTCTAGGATTTCAAACCGACCGGGGTACACGTGTACCTCGCACAACTCTTCTAACCGGGTCAGAGCCGGGTCCGTTCAAGTGCGGCCACTGCATGTACATGTGTATCTGGAAGCTGTACATAATAGGACTCCCTGGTGTATATTCCCAACAGGGTCACAGGTGAACTGGTGTTCTTTTTCCAAACGGGTCCAAGAACCCTCCAGCACTGAACCGGCTGACCCGATTCTGGAGCAGACACTGACATTTTATCAACTGCTGTAAATCTAGTCTGCAGATCAGATCATAGTGATACTGATACATGGAATAGGAGCAAAGAACCAGGATCGAGCAATGTTCTGAGAATCCTTAACCCACTCCAATGATGATGATCATCGTTGTATGTCTAGGCAAAGTCCCCCACTGTACAAAAAGGTTTTCAACACAGTGAGGTAGAGTCTTTATACATAGAGATGAGTGTACACACAGTGGAAGCGATAGGGTCCTAACCAAGGACCCAAACGCTTCAATTGTGCGTACTAGCTCCAGTGCATCCTATGTTGTTGAGCACTCTTTGTGGTTCACAGGACAACTCCTGTGTAGACATGAGTGTATTTACTTTTCCTAGTAGAGATGCAGATGTTTGCCATGAACGTGACCTGAAATCAGGAAATGACACTTTGTGCGTGGAAGCATTATCCTATGAGGCACACAGCATGATACTGAACTGTCAAATCATTACAATGCTAGTCTTGCATGTCACTCTTTCTCTGGAATATACCAGGAGTGGTTTGAACGGCCAACATTGCGGAGTTGTTGTCCTACTCTAAGTTACATTACCTGCACATCAAACGTGTACTGGGCAAGTGTCTCGCGGTCAATGTTGTTACTGACTGTCAGCCTGCCGGTGGCATTGTCACAAGAAAATGCACCAGCTGCACAAAGACAAACAAGATAGTAACAGAGGTTAGCCATCCAACTTCCCCTCGGGGTGTGTGTGTGGAGGGGGGGTGGGGGGGGGGGTGGGGGGGGTGGGGTGGGGGGGGTGGTAGCAAAGAACTAAAGTGTTTAGCGCAGGCATGAATCAGCACACACATATAAATGCTACATAGCCGATCATGAGTCATGCTACACCTGTCATAATTCACCCGCAGATGCCGACGATTATGGTCACACACGTCTTTCTTCTCTTTCTCAGACTCTTCCTGACTTTTCTTTCATTCTCTTGGGTGGTTACCAACAGCCAGTGCATGCCGGAGTATGTGGTGTGATGTGTGTGCGGGAAAAGAAAAAGAAAAAAAAATGAAAAAGACCAAAAATAGGGATTCACTGGCCAGAAATTGTCACTCCAAATAGCTGTATGGTGTAGACCAGGCTGAATAGTGACGGTCAATTCTTCAGCCTTGCAAGCTGTTGAATGGTGTAATCCCAGCACAAGTTGCTATGGCTTCTGCCGTAGCATTGCTATCATCGCCTCCGGCAATGGGCGTCAAAGGTCAAGGTCATAATTCATTATCAATAATGTGCACATTACTGGCACAAAGTGACGTGATCAACCATTCTGGCAGTCCTTGAAAAGTAAACGATGAGGTAAACCTTGAGAGATTCAGCACTGTTATCACTGCAGCCCCTGTGTATAGATAATGTGTTCTATAATCAACATGATATCCAACTGATTTCTTACCGATATTGCCGGTACCGATGATCTCATAAGTCAGCAATGCATTTACGCCGATATCTGCATCGCTAGCGCTGATGAGTGTCGTGGACACTGCTTCAGTACCGTTGGCAACATTCTCATCGATGTAGCGTGTGAGTTGAGTGAACGGCAGGATTGGTGGATTGTCATTCACATCCAGTACTGTGATTGCAACCTGTACACATGCACAGTGTCGACATCAGTATTCATAACATCACGGGATCATGCTTGTGCTGACTTGACAATACAGTGGAGTGCGGATTCAACGACCTTGCATATAGCGACAGATTGAGTTTAGCGACCCAATTCTCTTGCCCAAGTCGTTTAGTAAGTCCTTTGTGAAGATCGGATTTAGTGACAGATCGAATATAGTGACATTCTATTGTCTCCTGAAGAAGTGTCGTTATATCCAATATCCACTGCATGCATCAACATTACATCACCCAAGAGGCCAAGACACCCATTCTTGAACATGACATAATGCATGCATGGTGTATATGACATCACACATGCATGAACATGGCACCACACATGCATGAACATGACATTGTCATGCATGAACATGACATTGTCATGCATAATCAGGACAGCATGCATAATTATGACATCACATACGCATGAGCATGACATCATACATGCACGAGTATGACATCATGCAAGCGTGGACACTGGACAGGACCAAGTCTTCACTTTTCTAGTACTATAAAGACCGTTGCAAACGCCCACCCCACGTGTACAAGATGCGCTCGCCTAGCCTGCGGGTGGAGTTGACATTCAACTCAGGGATGGACCTGCAATTCCTCATGTGCCGGCAAAGTCACAACCATTATTTTGTGAAACATTCTCAGTATTTCATTCCCATGTTCTATTGTTTGTATAGCTTGTTGGTGCTCTAATCACCACTGTATTCGACTTGAAGAGTAATGGTACCAAAGGCCTAGTCGAAATTATAAAGCCTCTGTTGGCATGTTACTTACAATTGCTGTGCTGTTGTGCACACCATCCGTAGCTACCGCAGTCAATGAGTGAAGACTCTGTACCTCACGATCCAGTGCTTTAATGGCTCGAATCACACCCTACGTACACACACACAAGATCAAAATATTCTCAGAAATGCTACTGTTAGACGAACAAAGAGTGACTCCACACACCTAATGAGCCATTGCTACGTTAGTCTGGGCCATATTTCGCCTTGTATATCTACCGAGTCTGGCGTGACACTGTACACAGTAGCTTGAGACCAGAAACACATACGCAAGGAATGTTCAGAATTGAAGGTCTAGAAAAGCAGATTGAAAATGTTCTACGCTTGCCTTCTACTTCCCTCTTGAGATACGATATCCAATGAATCCCAAGATTATCGATAACAATGTCCTCAAAAGTAATGGAGGCATCTCTTTCTGAAGATTAATTAAGCTGGATAAATGTCTGAATTTTTGTGACAAAACATCTCGGTACGGCTTGTACTCTGGACAATATGGCAGTACTAAAATGTTGGTGTATGCAGCATGAACACCATTCACTTTGTGTTTGCACTGGACTAGGTCAACTGATCTCTGTTGCTAACTTGAAGTGTTGCAAGAGGCACTGGCGTACCGTCTGCGAATCGATCTTGAACTTGTTGCCAATATTCAACGCCAGAGCAAACGTGATTGGTTGGGTCTTTCCGTCACGGTCGATTTCATACGCAGCAACCTGCACCAGTGGTGGGAAGATCGTCAAATCGTTTTCCAGGACCTGTCCAGTGTATTGCGTTGACTGGTTGAAGATGGGAGCGTGGGAGTTGATATCCTGCAGAAAGTAGAGGCAATGGAGTGCAGTTGGTCTTAACAATACATGTACGTAAGACTGCTCTCCAACTGTTTGCACAGTTACACATGTACATACACGCACGCACGAACGCACGTACACACGTACACACGCACCCACGCACGCATGCACGCAAGCACTCACGCACGCACACATGCACCCCCCCCCCCCCCCCCACACACACACATGCCCATTCCCTGCCACGTACCCCCCCCCCCCACACACACACACACATATGCACACACACACCCCTTCCCCCCCCCCCCGCCACACGCACACACACACACGCACTCAATATAGAAGCAAACTCATCCAAGGCACGGAATACTCACATTGACTTTGATAGTAGCTGTTGTAACACTGGTCATAGATGGTGTGCCAAGGTCAGTGGCGTTGATAGTCAGCGTGAAGCTTTGGAAACCAGCATCGGCACTGACAGGCTGATCAAGACTCAGAATTCCAGTGACTGGGTCCAGGGAAAAGAATGTGGTGTTGGTGTCCAGGTAATAGCGAACCTACACAACAATGATACAAGGAGAAGGGAAGAGAACATGATTTTGTAGCAGGATATAATGTGAACAGAGCAGATAATGGAATGGACAGGGAGTTGTGTTTAGATGTAAACTTGCAACCACCTCAGATACACACATGCAAATACCCACATGAAGAGAATAGGTCCTGTAGAATTGTGTATTTAATAACTTAAAAAAAAGTCTCATTACATGTCATTTGCAGTGAAGAAACCACTTGATTTGAAGATTGTGTGTGTAAGATTTTTCATGTAATGAAGTGGCTGCAGTGGAGCTTGTGCACATTAAGAAATGTTTTAAAGTCTCATGCTAAAGCATCAACAACAGTCTGACTGGATTGGACCTCTGATCAAACCCTATTTGCTGCGCATGGAGCACTTGTCAAAACTTCATTATCTGATAACATCTCAATTGCTTTGCCTCAACTGCGAAGAAACAACAGTCACAGCTTGCTCCATATGTGGAGGATCTATGTCTACATCCGGAAACCCAAGGGACCAACAACTACCAAGAATGAAGGAGAACCGCATGCCTTGAAGGACGAAGTTGCTGACTGATGAAAACACACAATAATATGATTGTGCAGGCAGGAAAGGCCTTCTGCATGCACCTTAGTTAACAAACGCCAGCCCAGCAATCACTGAAGTTACCTGTCCATTGGATCCAGAGTCGGCGTCATTTGCAACAAAGTGCAGAAGCTGTGCTGGAGGTACTGTCGTTTCCGAGAAAGCAGCTGTGTATCCGCTGGTAGAT